TATTTCAGTGGTTTTAAGACTATATACAATTTTTGCTGTATTAATATGACTAGTCATATTAGAAAGTATGTATAACTAAGTAATAATTATTAAATCATATACACTACTAACCATGATATTGATTGCTCAACTATTATAAGAGGTTTGTTTTAGCTATTTAGAAAATTGATCCAATCAACCATAAAACAATGAAACCAAAATATAAGTTCCTTTCCAATCAAAGACAAACAAATATCACATCATATTAATACACTGTTTCTCATGTTTCAAACTTTGTCAATAAAAAATTAGTAAAGACATTAATAGGAAGATCCACCATGAGATTCTACTGTATATTAATTATATAAAATAAACTTAACTCACTTTAAGCTAACTGTTCATGCACATTAACACAGTATCATATTTTTAAGGCCCAATTAAATGGAAGTTTTACCAGAAATTAATACAATTTTGGTATACCTAAACTGAATTAGATATCACTAGAAAACAGGAGTATGGAACTAGGTCATTGATGGTTTCATGTTATACACATGTATAAACATTATGCCCAGATTGAGGCATTTCTTTTCAGTGATAAAATACATTTTGGCCCTCAGTAAAGGTAAATAATCTACAGATTTTTTTTTAAATATCAGAGTTTTCATTGTTTGAATATTTTCCATACAGATCCAGTTTGAAGCTTTGGTAGAAGAGTCAGCAAATGTAACCTGGACTGTGTCATCGTCATGTCAGATAAGCAATATAAAGTAAGGCTTTGTTATGTTTGTAGGTTATTTGTGTTATAAATTTGTATTTAATAACTTGAGAAAACATTCTGAAGTAAAGTTCAAACTAAAGTCAAAGCTCATAAAATTATTTCATCATAATTATAGCACCATAACTGGAATAATTTCAACTTTCCTAGACAACATTATGAATAGATAATTTCAGCTTATATTATTACCAGAATTATATTATTACCAGAGCTTATATTATAGCACCATAACTGGAATAATTTCAACTTTCCTAGACAACATTATGAATAGGATAATTTCAGCTTATATTATTACCAGAGCTGAATTAATTGTAGAGCTATATTGAATAGGTCTGCAAGATAACAGGAGAATCACTCAAGATATTGAGTAAATTCTGGTAATTTCAACTTACTTAACAACATCAGACTTCAGGTAAAAACAAATTACCTAGATAGTATCATACTTGGAGTAATTTAGTTTTACATAGACAAAAGCAGAATTGAGATAATTTTAGGTTGATTATAAATCACCATACTTGCTTACATAACACCAGACTGAATAATTTCAGTTCACTTAGAAAAAAATCATCACACTTACACAGACAATACCAGACTTTGTATAATTTCAGCTTACTTTAAAACCACTTACACAACACCAGACTAGAGTTAATTTCAGGTTATTTATAAATCACCATACTTAGACAACACCAAACTTAGTATAATTTCAGGTCAGTTAGAAATCACTATATTCACTTACACAACACCAGACTTGAGGTAATTTTGGGTTATTTAAACAACACCAGACTTGCGATAAGTTCAGGTTACTTAGAAGACACCACAGTTAGACAATACTAAACTTGGGATAATGTGAGTTTAATTACACATCAAAAAATTTTTGGCTACTTAGAAATCACAATATTTGAGATAAATTCAATTTAAATGTAATATATCCAGGAAGAGCTGAATTAAATGTAGAGCTATATTGAATAGGTCTGGAAAATAACAGGAGAATCACTCAAGATATTGAGTAATACTAGATCTTTTGCTAATTGAGTTGATGTAAAATGAAATAATGGGACTGGACACAAATGTAAAACAGATTGCACAATATTAATTATATATTAAACAAACACATGTACTTGGTTGAAAATTATGAACATTGGACAGCCACTGTAACTGAATACCTTCTTTTTATTGTTTAACTCATTCTCTTGTACTAAATAGACCAACTCCAGATGATATTCCAGACTGTACTGACTAAATTTAACGTTTTCTGGTATGTAAGAAACCTTATCTATCCAGACTGACTAATGCTATCTCATGACTGGTCATTCTCATTAAAACAAACTGGACTCTATAATTTCTAGATATCACAAGAACAATCATTGAAGGACACTGGCTGTCAACATTCTTACACAACATGTACTAATAAGCAATATCCTGTCCACTTCAAGAAAAACAAAGAAACAAGGTAGATTACGTAGCTTTCTCGATCATGTATTATGTGAAACCTACATATATATAAAATATATAATAAGTTCAGAATAAATACTATAACATTAAAGAAAAATAGAAATGCATAGTATATTCAAATACCACTCTTTCTTTTGTTTCTGTTTCAAGTTTGTCCTCAATACAACATTTAATTTGAACTTTAAAAGTAATAAGTTTTAAATTCCTGCTAATGCCACATTAACTTTTTCTCACCCCCTGAAAACACTTGCATGCCATACAAATGTAACAACCCTTGAACACAGAAAAATATCACATAATTGCATGAAAATATCTTTAAACAATGAACAAAATGCATGACCAAAAACCCTTTAATAATGAAATCATATATTAATACAAACCATTTAACAAAAGACATAAGAACTTGTAAACAGTGAAAATACAATATAAAGAATTGACCCTTTAACACAGAACCAAGTACACAGCAGTACAAGTATTCTTTTTAAGAAAAATGATGAAATAATGCTTTTTATATATGTATGTTTTAAGTTTGTTTTAGTGCAAAGCCAAATTCAGCTATCTGCAGTGTCTACAATGAGGAATTGAACCCTGAATTTTGGCATGCAAGTCCATAGATTCATTGCTAACCCACCTGGGGACACACACATATATATATATATATATACATATTCTTGTTTTATAAATTAATGATAATGAAATAATAAAAAAGGAAAACAACACACAATCTGTACCAACTGTGAGTGATTGATGTGGCAGGCACATGTGATATAAAAGAAGTCGCCACCATCATTACCACACTGAAGAGGCCGAAGTCCCTGTTGATGTGGCTATTTAAATCTCATAGGCCCTCAGCCTACAGGAATAGTCTTCAGTAGATTCTGAGAAGGTATGCAATCTAGAGGTCTCCACTGAATGGAGATCCCATTTTGCTGTCTTGTCATAATTCATGGCTGATCCTAATTTTTCCATTGAGGCTACTCAAACCCTGCATTCACTCTTTAGGTATGATATAACTTTCCATGGAAGCTATAGAAAATTGGAGGCTTCAGGACACAAAGGAAGAAACAGCTCTGACTAATTGTAAAACAAGATTCCCAGAAGTATCAAAAATTTGATATCACATAGCAATTGCAAAATTGATGAAATCAAACTTGTTAATAGATGAGATAGGTGGTTAGATTGAAAGTGAGTCATAACTATCTGGTAACAACCAATACTTCCTTCTACAAACTACCTTAAGTGACTGTTTAATATGTGGGTGACCTTCATCAAGTAATGTTCCTATGGTGTTCACATGTGCTCCTGCTCTAATCACTCACAAAACATGTATCCCTGGCACTCATGAACTGCTTGGTCCACAGGCCTCTTTGGGTATCCACTTGACCAATGTTGTTTTTGCCCTGGTGCCCTTTATTACCATTCTCATGAAAACCAACAGTACACTTCTTTCAGTAACAAATTTAGTACTAGCTATGATGTGACTCACAAAGATTCACCATTTGGATGTTACTTTCTACTTCTGCTTCCCACTTTGTTATGCATCATATACTGATCTTAGTACTGAAATGTGTTACACAAATATTCAAAAAACTGTGTGCTTTTCTAATAATTTCGACCTACGTGAATGAAAATATTCGATTACAATCAAATAAAACATTGGGTAAATCAAGTTTATATTTCTTATGACAGCTGTTTGTGAATATTATATACTACTGATAACTTCATCATTTTCAAACATTTCAATTTAATCCACTCAAAATAGCTTGAATTATTCTTACTGAAAAACTTGTCTTCTCTCTCTGGCATATATGAGTCTCCTTGCTAATCTTATTCCTTCATGAAACCTCGTTACCTATGCTAAATATTTCATTGACCAAATTGACACATCCTCTCACAAGTATTAATATAAATAACACATAAACTGTATTTTCCAATAACTCTTCACATCAATAATTAAACTTAATATCATAAAGTCTTAACATCCAGATCAAATCCTTTATTTTCATTCACAACAGGCTTAATAATTGTGCTTTTTACATCATTGATTCATTTGTGTTGTACAACACTCATGAATAATTTCATGTAATGTTCCTATACACATATGAGACCACAAACGTGTATTTATTTAGACGTATATTTCCATATAAATTTATTTGCATTACATATGTTATCACTATCACTAATAACTTTCAACAGACTGCCACCCCCCATTGACTCAGCAGTAACTCTGAAGGTTATGCAATATTTTATTATCAATAAACGCATCCTCTTTCTTTTTAAGAATGCACTTTATTTCTTTTGAATATTAAGCATGTATCTGCAAATATACGTTTACTTACTTTATAATATTTGAAAATACCAATATTTGTCAGCCATTAGATACTACTAAAGCGTTTTAGGGTTTTCAGTGAAAGATCTTAAAGAGTATTATCTTAAATCATACTTTTCCAGCTGCAAATGAATGTTTAATTCACCTTTTGCTCAATACAAAAACTGGACAAGCTTTCTAGAATAGTATGGATACAAAATTTAAATCATGTCCTTACAAGTGTTCATGATATATTTCAAAACTCATCACAGTATACAGTAAAAAAAGATAAAGAATAATACTTATTGACATTTTTGAGAGACTTACAATGAATCCAGTAGAACTGTATTAAAGATAACAATACTTTTTTCAGATATTTTATGTTAAGCTTATGCTTTTTATTTTCTAAAGCTCTATAAAGACAGACATAACATGTTTCCAGTATGGTACTGGTATTGTCTCTGTATCACTGAAAGTTAAGGTAAGTAAAATATACATGTTGTTATGTGTGTAGTTTATGAAATGAAACTATATAAACTATTCATTTGTAAACTAAAATAAGACTTGTCAAAATTAATTTGTCTGAGTAGATCCTTCTGAATTTTTTCATTTTATCATTGTAAACATCATAATTGATTTTAAAATTTTCACCCTCCTGCATGTTCATTTGTCTATACTGATTAAATTATAATCAGAGCTTCCTCCAGGCTGTACAATGTGTGGGGCTAAAGGAAAAGTTCTGTAGTCCCTACACTGAGATCTATGAGATACAGCTTTTGAAGGTGTGTAGTGCTATTTCATGTTATTTAATGCTGATATCCACATTCAAGGAACATTGTGCCATTTTGTGTTATTTAATGCTGATATCCACATCCAAGGAACGTTGTGCCATTTTGTGTTATTTAATGCTGATATCCACATCCAAGGAACATTGTGCCATTTTATGTTATTTAATGCTGATATCCACATCCAAGGAACATTGTGCCATTTTATGTTAGTTAATGCTGATATCCACATCCAAGGAACATTGTGCCATTTT